ATTCTGGGAGTTGAAGTCCACACATCTTAAAGTTGCCAGGGTTGAGAAACACTGCTCTAGAATAAAGAAACAATGAATAAAGACACTGACAGAGACAACAGGATCCTGCTGAGCAGTCTCTTTCTGTACACTGATCCAGGACACTTCTTGATTAACTGAGGAGCTCTGGGAGATGAAGCAGCAGAAGAGACACTTAGAGCAACACTGGTGAAAGACTAGCAGTGAATATGAACAAACACAAGCATGAGTCCATGTTCAGGCTTACATCATCGTGATAAAGGAGGCAAAGTGTCAATATTTCTCCATCTTTACTATGTTTGTAGACTGCCATCCAGTGGCGTTTAAGACTTTCTGCTCCCTTCCCAGTAGTGGTGAGTCAGAAGAACTTCCTCCAGCCTGCTGTGAATTTTTTGCTAAGTGGTTTGCAGAGAAAGTCACAGATATTCAGAGCAGCACCCAATCTAATCCCTTGACAGGGGTAAAATCTTTAGTGCTGGCACTGCAAATGAGCCCAGCATTGCCAGCAGTTCTGCACTTCATTTGTGGAAGAATTTCAATAGACCACAACCAACTAGAGCTGTTGGTTGGGATGCAGCACTACGCCAGTTTGATGTAATGGTTAGGTGCTGGCATACAAACCCTGAACCTCCGAGTTCTAGGCATGGACGCCATCTGGAGGATTTTGGGTCAGTCACTTTCTCTCAAACCAACCCCCTCTCACAGGTTGTTGTGGGGAAAATAGGAGGAGGGGGCATGATGTATTTTATACCATCTTGAGTTGTACAAAATAAAGGCCAGTTATAAATCAAAGAAAAAATAAAATTCACTACTTGAAACTGATACTCTTGACCTTGCTGCTATGTTTTCTTCCTCTTTTCTGCCCACCTTTTGTTTTCACACCCTCTAAAAGTCCCCTTTAGGAGCAGAGAATTACCTCATCACATATTACTTTACTAAAATGAAACCCCAACTCTATACATGAAAAAGCATTTGCATGGACAAGCAGTCTACTCTTAAAATTTTATTTACAAGTAGTCCTCACTTAACAACTGTTTTGTTTAGCAGCCATTCGAAGTCTGGATGATGCTGAAAAAATAACTTTATGACTGGACCTTGCACTTATGACTGTCGCAGTGTTCCAATGGTCATGTGATCAGATTCAGACAGACAGCTTTTATGACTGTCCCAGCATTAATGGAGAAGCCAGCAGTAAAATTGCAAGTTGCAGTCATGTGATGTCTCACTTAACAACTACAGGTGATTTGCTTAACAACCACAGTGGAAGTGAGGTAGTAAGCCCATCATGGTCATGTGCTGTTTCACTTAACAACCATGTTGCTTAGCAATGAAGTTGCTGGTCCCAACTGTTGTTAAGTGAGGACTACCTTATTCAGTTCTTTATAGAATGCCCACTTCTGAGGTGGCTTACCACGCAAGTAATACAATGATAAAATTGCAGGAACATTCTAGGGCTGTGCAGAGCTTAGAATTCAAAGGCAAAAAGTGCTCTAGAGCAAGTGGAAGCCCTCATATAGTTTGTAACTCCTTGAAGCAGCTGCTTCTTTTCCTGGGATCACAAAGCTGCCCTCCACAGCTGCAAATCTACAACTTTATAATCTACCTGCCTATCCATTAAGATAGACCAGCCTTCTATAAAGTTGTCAAGTCCTATATATTGCACTTACTTTATGCTATATGCTGCCACAGCAGTTTGCTAGCCAATTATCATCTGAATGATTTTTCCTTTTAGTATATTTCTGTTTATTAGTTCAGTTGTTTTAGTTTTGTTCATTTTTAATATTTTTCCTTTACAATTGAAATCAAAACACCTCAGCATATTTAGTTCATTAGTTCTACATGTACAACTAGACATCTTCCTGGTGAATATAAAATGAAAGGACAACCAAACGTTCTAGTCTATTTTTGACTCTATCACATCAGATGCAGATCTGGGGGAAAGACTGCATATGTGAATGCTCCATGTTAATCTCTCTCTGCAGGACTAAAGCCAACGAGAGGCATAAGTTCATAGCTTTACCTGCACCCTGTCCTTACTTACCACATACATAGGAGTATCTTCCACCAAATGTGGAAACTGTGAGGGACAAGTAGGCAAAGACTAGAAAATCTGCCCCAGCAGGACTGTTCCCCTCCTCTCCAACACAACACAGGGACATCTACCACCATATGCTCTGTGGGAAGGATCACTTGGCTTGTGTGTACGTCAAGGAGAACATATATACACATGTTCATAATTTTTAAAATATTTGTAAGTCACCTAATTTAGTACATTTATATTTCACCTTCGTATTCTCAAAGATATTTGTATTTGTAAAGGTATTTGAATTTCTATTCTCAAATAGAAAAAACTATATTAAATATAAATGTCACCCGGTAATGCACAACCTTTGTCAGAAGACCATTGGGTGCGGGGGGGGGGGGGGGGGG